GTGGTTTTTACAGTCAAAAATATCACTTTCTACTAATGTTTTAAGCACAATATTTACATATTTACAGTTTGTCAAAATGAGTAAATAACAGATTGGCAAGATAAACAGTTTTTAAAGGTGAAATATAGAGAACAAATCAAAAGTAGTCAGAAACAGCCAGTTACACCCTGGACCCCAGCTTTTTGGAGTATTTGAAATAACGGTAATATGAGGGACTGATCCATGTGGTCACAAAGAATAGCCACTTGATTCTGTGCTACCAAAGTTTCATTCAAACTGTGTTTCTGGTCAGCACCGACACATCAAACTACTTAAACATTATAAATGTCTTCAAGCTCACACTGAGGCCTGTGGGGCATAATCAGCCGCTCAGACAGTACACACATTTATGTGTGTTTGTATATGAATGTTTCATACTTTAAGGCTGCCTGTTTATTTAAGTGAGATGAACAAAGTACACTGGGATTGTACATAATAATATCACAGATGATATATTAAATAATTTTTAGGTAGATGCTTGTGCATTCTTCAAGTCTTATATGTTGAATTGAACTATGTGATCTGTTCAAAGCCTCCCAGTCAGTGCTGTTCTCCATGCCTGTCTGACTGTACATGATGTTATTAGCACAAACACTTTAAAGGTGATCGTTTAGGACTTCAGCAATAATACAAACAGCAATGTAGTTAGCAATAGAACAGCTTTATTGGGAATTAACTTAAAAAACAAACAAACATCTGTCTCCTATTTTCTGTCACACAGGAAAGAAGCATCAATATCTGATGAGAAGACTTATTTATTTCTTTTTGGGGAAGAATATCTAACAAGTTGATTTGTTCACATCTTAATTTTTAAGTGAAATGTGCATTTTGAGTTTATACACTATGTATATAAGGCGACCGTTTCCTTTTGCAGTATTTTTGTGTGGTTTGTTTTTCTATTTCTTAACAAAAGGTGAACCTTTTGTTAAGCGCAATTATAACACATTTACATACATCCTTGCGAAAAGAATTGAAAATATTCTTGTTCAGATAATTAGCTTGGATCAGACTGGTTTTATTAAGCAGAGACAAACGCAAGATAATGTTCGTCGAATATTACATGTTATTGATTATGTTGGTAAAAATAAAATTCAGATGGTCCTTATGAGCTTAGATGCTGAAAAGGCTTTCGACCGGGTTAATTGGGAATTTCTATATAAAGTCATGGGCAAGTTTGGATTTCATCAATCGTTTATCAGGATTATTCAAGCACTATATAAATCACCAAGGGCAAGAATTAAAGTTAACGGGGCGCTTTCTAATGTTTTTAATTTACAGAGAGGGACACGTCAGGGTTGCCCTTTAAGTCCCTCACTCTTTGCTCTTTTCATAGAGGCCCTGAGTCAAAGTGTTATACAAAGCAATAATATTACTGGAGTCAAGATCATGGGTCGAGAGCATAAGATTTCCTTGTTTGCTGATGATATTTTGATTTACTTGACAATCCAAACATTACTTTCCCCAAGTTGTTATCACTTCTGGAGACCTTTATCTCACTATCAGGTTATAAACTAAATATATCGAAGACTCAGATATTAACTTTTAATTATAAGCCAAATCAGGAAATTAAGTCTAAAGTCAATTTGAACTGGGAGACGGAGCAGATGAAGTATCTTGGAGTAAATATTACTAAAGATCTCTCTAAAATATATAATGCAAATTTTAATCCTTTGTGTTATAAAATAAATGAGGATATTAAAAGATGGAACTTATTACCATTTTTAAATTTTGAATCACGTATTGATACAGTTAAAATGAATATCTTGCCCAGGATGCTTTATCTGTTCCAAACACTCCCAGTTGAAATAACTGATAAACAATTTCAGGAGTGGGACAAAATAATTTCCAGGTTCATATGGCAGGGGAGAAAACCACAGATTAAGTACCAAACTATCCAGTTGGCTAAAGACAAAGGGGGGTTGGGGTTCCCATGTTTGAAAGATTATTATACTTCAGCTCAATTGAGGATATTAGTGTGTTGGTGTAATGTAGACTACCAAGCGAGATGGAAAGAAATAGAAACAGAAACAGTGGCCTTAAGAGATTTTCCAATTCAGGCAAGCTTAGGGGATGTGACACTCATTAAAAAACAAATTAATCAAGGAAACCAATGGATTAACTTGCCTTTAAAACTTTGGTTACAATTTCTTAATAAGAATGATTGGAAGGAAGAGGCCAGGATTTTAAGATGGTGCGCTTTTGATTTTGATTTTTTACCCAATAAGTTAGATGTAAGATATAAAAAATGGGCAGGACAAGGCTTAATGGCATATTGTATGTTTTATGATAAGGGAATTCTTAGGGACTTCCAATCAGTAAAAGATCAATACCAGTTAAGCAAAACTGATTTTTTTAGGTTTCTTCAAATTAGGCTTCACCTACATAACTTTATACCTAAAAGAATAAATATTTTCTCTCTTCCTATTTTGAATATATTTGTCAAGGCTTACCAGGCAGATCCTGGCCTCAAGGTGATTTCTAGACTGTATAAGGGTATACAAGAGGTTAAGAAGCGGAATATTACCTACATTAAAAAAAATGGGAAAGGGAAACAAATACAGCAATTTCAAATGACATTTGGTATCAGCAGTGTACTTTTCAGTGGAGAATTTCTAGTTCTAATATATGGAGATGTTTTGGTTGGAAGAGTCTCTGTAGGTTTTTTATTACTCCTGCACAAAGTAAACGTTATTCTAATCACTCTAGCTGCTGGAGAAACTGTGGGGCCCAAGGAATAAAACACTTCCACTTGTTCTGGTCTTGCCCATTGATCAACACTTTTTGGGTATCGATTCATTCTGAGTTACAGATCATTTTTAGTATGCAACTTCCCTTTAATTGGGATTAACTTTTGTTTGGATATTTATATTCAGTGAATGTAGATAAAATGTCCAAGCTGTTGTATGGTATTTTGAGTCTGGCTGCCCATAAGACTATTACCAAGAAATGGCTTAGTGTGAAAATTCCATCTCTAAATGACTGGTATGAGATTGTTTATGGGATGTTTAAAATGGAAAGAATTACCTTCATTAATAGACTCCAATATAACATATTTAGTGATATTTGGGATAAATGGAAACATTACATTTTGTCAAGGAGACCCGATTTTGTTTGAATCTCTGTAATTATGATCCTATATTTTTGAATTGTTATGTGTATATATGTATATGTCAGTATGTATGAGTATATAGGCGAATACATATGTATGTAGGTATGTGTACGTATGTCTAAGTATATGGGTGGCCAGGTGGTAGAGCAGGTCACCTACTGATCGGAAGGTTGGTGGTTCGATCCCTGGCTCCTCCAGTCTGCGTGTCAAGTATCCTTGGGCAAGATACTAACCCCAACTTGCTCTCCGATGCGTCCATCGGAGTATGAATGTGTGTGAATGTAGTTAGAAAGCACTAAGTGTAGATAAAGTGCTTGTGAGAATGGGTGTGATTGGGTGAATGAGGCATGTTGTATAGAGCGCTTTGAGTACTCCGGGAGAGTAGAAAAGCGCTATATAAGAATCAGTCCATTTACCATTTATGGGTGTGTGAGTGGTCATGTGTGTATATGTGTATGTATATGTGTGTGTGTGTGTATATACACACTAGACGGTACACGTTTGTTTATTTTTGATTATTTGTTTATTTTGGTTTGGGTTCTTATAGGTTGTTTATTAAAAAATAAAATATTAAAAAAAAAAAAAAAAAAAAGGTGAACAAAGGTGTTTAAGTTCACTTAGGATTTCACATGGTCTTACAGAGGTGATGTGAATTGAAGCATGCACTTTTTTTGAAAAGGGACCTTGAAAATGCTTAAAAAGTACTTGAATTTCACCCTGAAAAAGGTGTATGAACCCTGTGGACAGTGGACCTGATACGTATCACTCACACTTTTTATTTTAGTAGGAAAAGTCAGACTTTGAGCTGTGACATTCAATCTTTGGTTTTTTCTCGGTGAGAATAGTATTTTTCATTATTATAATATAAAACTAAAATCTTTGTAGATGTTGACAAACATTAAAAAAATGAACAGCTGTAAACAAACAAACACCAGCTAACACGTAGATACTAAACCTTTTTATCTCACTGCAGTGAAAATGAACTGCAACATTCATTTGATGACATTAAACTCAATGGACTTTTTTCATTTTCTATACTTTAGGTGAGCAACACACGAGTTATTCTGACATTAAAATACAAACAAGTCATTTGGGGATTTTGTTTCCACCTCTCATGATCTTATCTTAGATTTGACTGGTCTTTATAAACAGCTCCACTCTGCCTAATCTGAACTGTAAGTGTTGATAAAATAATTTTGTATGTTCCTATTTAATGTCTGCATGAGCACAAGTTTATGTGTCTGGATGTTTTTTCCTGGAGGTGAGCCTGTATATGACAGCACTGTTCAATATAATATCTGCACATCTGCTTTAATACAGATGGTTAAAAGGGTTAAAATCCTGACTTTGAGTCTCCACTGTGAGTAGCTCAGCAGCTCTGAGGACTCTCTAAAGCTTTCTTCATCCTGATCACCATCTTCACTCTGTTGGAGCGTCCATGAGTGTTACTGAGTGTTCTCAGTAAAGTTTGTTTGAAGGAAAAACACCATCAGCCTGTTAAGTCGTGTGGAAATGTAGAGAGTCTGTGAGCTGCATTCACAAACAGGTTGGATCACTCTGAATGACAGCGATTAGAGGAGGTTCTTCCATCAGTACCAAGCTCTGCTGATTTTCATTATTTTAATAAAACTTAAACCTGCTCAGTGAAAAACAGAGTGAAATCAGACAAGACTGAGTCCACTTTTAACTTTGTTTCATCAGATTTGACAGGAACTCATCTGAAGATCAGCCTCCTCCCTGTAAGGGGACAATTCTTATTAAGTCTCCACCTGTCCTGCTTCAGGTGAAGCCCCGCCTCCTTCAAGGAATCACCTGCATGTCTGTGTTTAGTGTGCAGCTGTGGAGTGGAGCTTGTTGTTGGTGTGTGAAGAAACTGTAAGTTTGCTTTGTTTCCTCCTTTAACAGTTTG